CCCCCGGCCCCCGGCCTCGCGTCTAGCTCGGTATTCCTGGTAAATCCGCCCCCGGCAGATCTCAGCTGCGACATGTCGACGTGGAGGTGTGGCCCGTCCGCCGTAGTCGAGGTGCCCGACGACAGGGAACAGGAGGAAATCCCATTTAAAAATCGAAGGAGCGGATGCCGCTACAGCCTCTTCCAGTTAGTCCCGCCCATTTCTCATCCCCGAGGCTATTTTCTGAATTCTGATGCTCTCCAGGAAACCCACCGTCAACCAAATTGGAGACAACAGGGTGTCAACCTCCTGGCATTCCGCCGTCAAGATTTCTAACTGTGGTTGGTACAGACGGTACAGCACAGATGCTCAGCGCCTTCGAATCCCGGTGTGCACCTATGTATCTTGTTGAGATACGATTTCTTCCAGTCGGTACGCCGCAGCAGCTCCCATCGAGATTAGAAGCGAGCACTCCACGGCTTTCGGCAAATCGATTGCAATTACGCGCTCGCAACTGCAGTCGTTCCCTACAAGATCGACACTCTAAGATCTCTGTAATCATTAGAGGCACGGTAACGTTCAGTCCTGTGCGAGGCAGGGTAAGGCAACTTGACCACCCCCTTGCCACTACTGCTGGACACGCAACTCTTCTCTTAATTGCGAGCTCAGGCAACGGCGGTCCTTCATATCTAGTTATTTGTGATGTCCCAGTAGCCTGTGCGTCAGAGAGAGCGGCGCGTCGCGTCTCGACTTTGATAGTGGTGGTAAGCGGCAATGACAAACTCGAGACAAGATTAGACGAGCCGGCGTCAGTGTCCCTGTCTGCGCTCGCGCCCGCCCCTAGCTCGAGTATTCGTTTGACAAGTCGAACTTGCGGGGGAAACGCTAAGGTAGGCCCCGAACCTCTTGTGGGTGACAGGGACAAGCACAACATCAGACAGTGTCAGGAGACACGTGCAGAGACATCTTGGTTCCCTACACTTTCAGGGGAAAAGCAGCATTCGACAAGACGCAAGTCGCGTAGGAGTCCCCAACGATGGGTGGTCTGCTCAGGTCTATGCTTACCCATCCTCATCTTCATCTCGGAGATGTGACAGCGCAATATGTGCTCTCAGAAAGGGAGGGGTCGCAGTATGGGTATTCGCAGGTAAGTCTGCACCTAGGGCTGTTGGCGATGAACGGCCAGCTTCTGTTCTCTCCCTGTGGCCTCCCGGTTGTCTTGACCGAACACTCCGCCACACGGGCGTTGAACCATCCGATAATTGTCGAGGGGGACGGGAAGCAAAGACGGATAGAGGAGGAGAGGGCTTTCGTCCCATGAGTGGCTATTCTTGTCTTGACTCCGTCTGTCGTCGTAGCTCAGGAAACGAATGTTTTAGGTCAACTTAGAGACAGAACAGAACAAGTGTATGTGGTTAGGAAACCGGCGAACCCCTAAACATCGTAGTGGCAGGGCGATCTCAAGGTCAGAGAGTTTAGACCACCGTTTGATCCCAAGCCCTGGGCTACGCCAAATTAACCTTCGAGACGCCAGCAAGATCCCCAAAGGCTTGATAAACGCCCCTGCGTCGAGTCGTAGTAGGGCATGTCGTGTTTTGCGTGGTCCTCGTTTCGCAATCGGCGGCACCGCTTCAGTTGTCTAGTAGATGTCGTCTCGAAGGCGATGACAAGCCCCCAAGTATGATGCCATAGCATTCGTACAAAGCAGACAAGGAGACACGGGTCGGAGTGTCTGTCGCGGTCCAAAGGACATGGACAAAAGGTCAAAGCCCACAGCACAAAACACAGACCATAGCCCACTGGAACCCACTCATTGTATCGCGTCGTACAATCTCTGTCGCGGGCGGAGAATATTTTTGGTGGCAGAGCCCCGTTCGTCACGCCCGTCGGGGCTAGTGTTGTGCTCAACGCGCGGGCTCAGAAGTCCCCGAGGAGCCTATGCTCTTTTGGTCCACTGGGATCGACTCCAGCGCAAGCATTCCTTCGACTCCGCCCGAGTCAGGGTCCCACACTCGGGGAGTCTAGATCGCGGGCACCACACGGCAAGTCCCTCTTTGCTGTGTTACCCCCCTTGGCCGGCATCATGGGAAGAGGCGGGATTTGCTTCTTTGTTACTTGTCTCTTGACGTTGTTGTGGCTGTCGTCGGAAGAGGACTCGGGATCGACGGGGGTTTCGAGACACGGGGCAGTGCTTTTGGATGGGCAGGTACCGTAATCCGGGAAGTGCCCATGGCAATTGGCATTCCTTGACTGCCGCGCCGAGACGGTCCCGATGTTCGCGTTGACTTTTGCGACTGAATGATGGTGATCACTGACAGCTGCACGACGGTATTTGGGACTTGCAGAAGGCGAGGAACTAGTCGGCTTGCTGGCCTAGGGAAGAGTTGTAAGTAGTCAGCAGCATGCACGTACGAATAAGGTACACCCCACGCGCGCAAGACAGGCCTCACCTGCAACCTGGGACCTAGTTTCCCTAGCCCTGGGGCTCCTCGGCTTGTCGTTGTCGGCCTTGCAGACAGACAGGTTGGGCGTGCAAGTGGTGATTGGTGGTGATAGTGCGTCGATGCTTGAAGTTTGGGGGCTTGAAGTTGCTACGCAGTACTCCTGGTCCTGCAACTGCAACTGCCAATGCAATGGCAACCGAGCATCTCGACGATCGACATGGGCTTCTGCTCTCAGTGGCCAGTGACGGATGGAAGAATCGGCACATCAAGCCCCCCTCCCAAGACTCGAAGCCAAGACGAGGCAAGGTGCAGGGGATCATCAGTTTTCACCTTGCATTGCTGGAGCTGGTTCGCCGATGCAATGAGAAAAAAGAGAGTGGGTCAGCGACAGGCATTCCACCTCATCATTCAACAGGCTAGCGCCAAAAAAGACGCAGATCTCTGTTCTCTGGGGCCTGGGCTCTCACGCCCCACTTTCACATCCCAGCAACACCCACGACTGGATGGAGACACTCAAGGGAAAGAACAAGGGCCCATTTCGTACCTCCCTGGTCGAGCGCCTTCCATTCGGGGGGGGAGAGAGAGACCGAGGGGCAGACTCAGAGAGACAGGATGAAGGCAGCTGCCTTCCACCACCACTTCACTTACACCTGCTGATGGGTATCCCAACGAACACGCACAGTGCCGCATCAGTGTGGTTCTGCGCGCATCTCCATCTCTCTCTCTCCATCCTGGGTCGGTGCCCGCCCGGCCAGAGCACGACCCAACCAATACACACCGGATCCGACATTCACACTTGCCTTGCTGTGCCAGGGGGGGTTCCAGCAGCAGTGCTCCGCTCCAGTTGAGCGCTCCAGTGCTTCCATTGCCAATTCTTCTCTGTTTCTTCCATGAGACGTGACCACCCATGAGATGCAGGTCAAAGTGGATTGAATCTCACATCACATCTCGCTGCTCGCCGGACTCAGCTCATACGGTCGCAGTGCAGTCCCACACCGCCCAACAGACCATTGGCAATCGACCATGGCTATTCCTTTCCCTTGCGTTCAGCAGGATTGGCAACAACGTCCTCAGGCCTGCCTACCGCTGGGCCGGCTGGTGGTTTGGGGTGCTGTTCCACGAGGAGCGGCAACTCCCATGGAAACCCAAAGTCAGGGAACCCTATACCAACAGCACGTATTTGCGCCGTCCGCCTTCCCGTTGTACCGCCGTACCGCCATACCCAGACTTCCCTATCTGCACGGCGTACCACCACAATGTCACCAAATGTCGACAGAGAGGGGCCAGAGGGAAGGCGGGAAGGGCACAAAAAAAACACAGGAATCCACTTGCGGTGCGCTTTCCCTCAGCTCCGCGGCCGCGGTTATCTGGCCCTGGACCTTGTCTGCGCTTGCTTGTCCTAACCTCCAGGCTCCGGCCCTCAGCTCTGGGCTCCAACATCTCCGGCCTTCCAGCTCCCAACCCTCTCCCGTTCTCTTCTCCCTCCTCGCTCGGTACCGAGGCACACGCTACCCTCCGTTTCCCTGAGCCCACGCTCCCGTTCCGCGGCGCGGCCAACCATCTCCTATTTGGGGTCTAACTCCTTTTCTCGCAACGAGCCCTACCTTGCATTGCAGCGAGGATGGCCTTACCCGTCCATCTCATTCTCCAGACTCCAGGTTTCCTATGCAAGACGCTGCGGCGGCCGTGTGCTGGTCCCTTACCTCGCTTCCTTGGCGCTACGCATAATTGACCCCTCCCAGAACTTCGGTAGACATTCGGTGTACGGGGTACATGCCAAAGTATCGACACCATGACGGTCCGCTTCACTCACCTCCGCCTGTACGTACAACCTGCCATGCGGCCTGCGCCTCGTACAACCAGCAAGAAGACAGAGACGTAGTCTCTTAAAAGCAAGGCCAAGACCTCGACCAAGACCTGGAGTTCGCCGTCTTTAGGGAATGACACGCATTCGGAGGTGCAGCGACACTGCCAACAGACCCAGCATTAGGTCGTGCAGCATCCAGTTCGGCATGTCGTCGTGTCTGGCTATCTGAACCGCGGGCACATGTCTTGGGTGTGTGCGCGAATGTCGTGTCGGCCACTCAGAAGGCTTGCCACGTCCTCCATCCGTCACCCACACCCCTCGCCGCCACAATTTGGTGATTCCCACCGCTGGGGACCTCGACCGTAGAAATCCCAAAGGTTGTGCCGCAGGGGGCAGGGGTCTGTCCCTGGGGCAGCTTATGTTGCTGTTCTGCCGCGATTGCTCATCTTTCGCATTGGACTGCACTGGTCGACGGCCCGCTGCGCGGCTTTTGCTCGCTCACCTGGACCTCCTTGCCATCATATTTGTGCCAAAATAACGAGAGCCAGGATCAGCCCCGATCCGCCATCTATCCTCGGCATCCATGGACAATTCATCACCAATCTTTTCCTCTCCTCTCTTTGCCTGGTTACGGTCTCAAGAAGAGGGGCAGAGGAACAAAGTGGAGGGGCGGTCTCAGCCATCATTCCTCGATTGAGAATGGGAAATCCAAATACCACAAATCCACACCGGCCGCCCAGTTATGTACAGCCATCGATCTAATCCACACCATGGTGATATCCTGGAAACATCATCGATCACTTATAATCCACCAGGTACGGGACTTTAACCAAAGGTGTTGCACCCACGGATAATCTGCCTCTTCTTTGTTTCGTCATGTCACCAACCCACGAGTCAAGACGGCGGATCCGGAATCGGGCGGTCCCTACAGCTCTACGGAATTCCGATCTTCAGCTCCAAAGGCGGAGGTGAGGGAGGGATGCGAAAAAGAAGCTTTTATTTTTTTCTTGTGCTTCCAGCAGGTGTGGATTTCTCGCAATTCCCGTGCCGTCGGCGTTGGCCGCCGTCGGACAGCGGGAATAACGGGGCCTGCCACCGCCGCATACAATTCCTTCTTCACCTATTGTCATCGACTTGATGACTCGACCTGACTTGAAGATTTCCAAGAACATGCCATTGGACAAAGGTCGTCAGAGTCAAGTCAGACAAGTTGAGTACAGCCCACCCCTTTGCTCGGCCACGCCCCTTGCCGTGCGGCCTTTGGAGACTCGACAATTGTAGGTGAGTAATGATATTACTACGGCAGTTGCAGTCGATAAGCATTACCAGCGGCAGGACGCAGAGCATAGCAAATCTCCCAGTATCTACGAGCATCCTGGGAGGTCAGGTGTAAGAGGTATGCAATATGTAATATTCAAGTGGAAAAACAAAACAAATTGGGCAGAATTCAAAGACAAGACAGATTTTGCTCCAACTTCTAAGGCCCCAAGTCCCCATCGGGAAAAATAAATCTGACACGCGACGCGGCAACCAATTTCTTCGCTTTGTCAGGAAATGACCAAGAAAGAGAAGGTATTCCTTGGAAGTGGCTTTGGGTTCTTGTGGTCATTTTATTGATTCATCCGTTGATCCAGGTCATTCCATTTCATTTCACTCGCAGCTGTGGTAGATATCCAGCTCGGACACGATGAGAAAGCCATGACCGAAAAAGACGAGCAGTACCTCATCATGGCTTTTTCAACAATCGTTCAAAGGGCATTCTTGGGTGGTTTGATACCTTGGCTTTTCATGTTGGATGGCGTGGTTGAGGCACCAGCCACTGGGGATTCCATTCGGTCTAGCGCCGGCATCGACGCCCGCCAAGCATGGACACCTCGCGGTTCCATGGACAATAGGAGTAACACATCATCGTCACCATCATCATCGCAGGCTCCGGAGCGTAGCGGCGTCAACAGCCCGCGACTGCCATACAGTGCACAGAGCCGGACGGCTCACAGGGAAGGAAGCACCAGCTGCCGCTTGCCACCTGCCTGCCACCTCTAGCAGAATATGGGTGATGCCCCTGCCGCGCTGATTGCTGGCTGCCGCAGGAAGTCGGTACGTATTTCCGATTGGCATGGAAGGAACTCCCTCCACGCCAAGGAAAAGTTGGTACCTGAGGAGGTACTTTTTTTTTTTTTTTTTTTTTTTTCTCTCTCTCTCGCTCAGCCTGCCATCAACCATCAGCCACAAGACGCACCCCCCTCCTCTTGGATCCTTGGAGACCCCCCGGCCAGCAGATCCTGGCAAGCAGCATCCAACCCATCCAGCCAGCAGCTGCCGGAGCAGAGCTCTGTGCTGAGGTAGGCTCTGGACTCGCACGCATGAGGGGAGTAGATTTACACCCGCCGCCTGGCTGCATCGGGGAGCGCCTCCTGCCGCCCAAGCTTTGCGTGGGAATCGGTACGTGTCTACTCATATCAACATTTCGTCCGTACCTCTGCCTCAGGTACATTCAATTCAATCTTCCATCACGCGCACTTCACAGGGTGCTCATCTTTTCTACATGTCCTCGTCACCTCTCAGATCAATTGCCTCGAGAACGACAGCTGCGGTACATCCCATGCCTACGTGAGCCATCATCCGATACGTACCTCCCTTGAGCTGAGGCACTTTCTCTCCCCCCTCGCTTCTTTACACGCCTCACACTTTATGAAAGGAAAGCGCAAATAGCAGCGAGAATTCAAACTGAGAGTGAGGACGTTCTGCGGTAGAGGTAGAGAAAAGCAGGGCAGGAGGGGCCAAAAAAAAAAAAAAAAAAAAACACCCACGGGCTTCCTGCTTTCACTCCTCCCCCTGGGCCGGTCCGCGTAGTCGTCGTCGTCTTCCATCTGCCACCCATCAGACGGAGACAGCAAGACGGGGCTCGCTGCGCAGACTCGGCGGCCATCATGGTAGCCCCTTCCCTGTTCTCGAGTATCTCATCTCGCAGAAAGTGACAGGGGGAAAAGAGAGGGAGAGTGAGAGAGAGGCATACGACGCACCGGACCACTTAGGCACGGCAGCAACGGCCATCACCCTTCCTGCCTTCCCATTTGCACGTTCGTAGTTCCGCCTTCACCTAAGAAATACAGGCAGACAAGAGGACCACAGGGCAAGCTCCTCCTGTTGCGTGTTTTTTTTTTCGACTATCCCGTACACTACTCTAATTCTCATCCCTCACCCACTTCGAGGTTGGGTCTTTCTCAACATCCCCTCTTCCTTCCCGCACACTCTCCTCCTCCGTGGGCTAAGGCATTCCTTGACCCTCCTCTTCACGTCCAGGTCACGACTCCAGGAGTCCAGGAGTCCAGGTTCATCCTGCTGCTTTTTCACATTCGCACCTACCTACCACCCCTCCTCTCCCAAGTCCCCTCCATCTCTGGCGACTCCCTTTCCCCTCGCGCAGGCTGTCGTTGCGCGTCTCCACCGCGAGCCAGCCCTCGTTCGCTAACCTCCCAACCTGTATCCGTACCTACCCAGGCGTCCCATAATTGCCTGCGTTACCCCATTGTTTGGGTTTTTCCCTTTCCCTCTTCCGTCCGAGGAGTATTAAATTCGTTCTTTCTCCCGGGAACGGCGCTAAGATCGAGAACTCCCTCCCCTCGTCATAGCCTTCATTGGGTTTACCCCCTTCACCCCCATCCGCTAGCTCGTCTCTGCCCCTTCTCCTTCTTTCCTTGACCTCACTTGCCGTACCGTACCGGGCGAGAGTCAGAGAACAGACACCAGAAACACGGACACAGACCAACAGACAGAGAGATAGCTTTCTCTCTTTCATTGCCGTCCACATCCACACTTCCACTTTCATCTCACGCGCAACATCCGTACCTTCTCCGTACGCCTCCAGCGCTACTACGACGTCGACTACTTTCCCTTAGTACCAACGGGGAAATCGAATCGCACTACCAACGCACGCGCACGACGCTCATACCTGCTGCTACTGCACAACCAGCGCGTCTGACTACGTCTTTCCCGCTGCCGATACGTTCGTCACGTCAACTCGACTCGAGCAAGACTCGGGAAGACAGAAGGAGCAACACACACCCTCCACCAACAGACCAGCCCACCACCACCACCCTTCACCCACCCAACCCACCATTGGTACCAAGGCCAAGGCGAAGGCCACCACGCCCCCCTACCACCACCGCAAGCACCGAGCACCACCACCACCACACACCCAGCTGCCTCAACCTCCCCCCCGGCCTACCCACGCTGCTCCCAAGTTCACACCCACGCTACGCTACCCGGGCTGCCCTGCTGAGCTGTGCTGCCCTGCGCTGTGTACTGCAAATCACACACACACACGCACAAGCTCCCGTCAATCACACCTGGAGACGCAGACCTTGACACGCTTAACGCGCATTCAACTCACACTTTTTCCGTCTGCACTTCGCCCTCGCTTCTGCTGCTTCTTTTCCTCTGTTGCATCTGCATCTTGAGTTCTCCTGTATCCGCAAGCCAGATCAGACAAGAGTCATTCGCTTTCTCGGGACTCCCATATTCCATTCACAAATCTTTCGCATACCGCAAGTCAGGTCCTAGCCTAGACCACGCCAAATTCAGACATACGCCTTCCCGATCAAAGACAGCACACACCCTGCGCTATACGCAAAGAGGAACAATTCGACATCCCATCCCCACTCTACCACCGCCCTCCCTACCTCCAGCTTTCGCAGCTGCCACTGCCGCTATAGCGACTCCTCACTGAGCGTGTACCTACGGCACTCCTCGCCGCCTCTGGTTCCCGGGCTCCATCAGCTCGTGGGCCTCCCCCCCTGCTCTATCTCCGATCCAGACGCTAAGCTGCTCGGCCTGAACTCAAGCGGAGGAGCCCAGCCCTTCCTTTACCTCTCTAGCGCACTATTTTAGTGCCGCTCTCCCCAGGCATTACCGTCAACCTCCTCTCAGCCAGGAAAGAGAGGAAAAAAAAGAGGCGTCCTTTCCGTGATCTGGCAAAGACAACGCTATCCTTGCCACTTTGAGAGATCCTCGCTCAGGGCCGTGGCTAGTCGACTTTGTTGTCATCACATCCCCATTTAACCATAAACCCGAGCCCTTGGGTGGTCCGCGCTATCTTGGCCGCCATCTTTATACACCATCGCCGCGCCGCCTCAAGTCTCACTTCACTCTGGTATCATTCGCTTGTTACCATTCTTCCATCATCCTTCTTTCCATTCTTCAAGTACAAGCCAACCGCCGCTACTTGAACCCGTCGCGCCTTGGACCAATTCACCTACCGCTCTTGACCTCGGAAAAAAAAAAACACGGCCTGTCACCACCAACCTACGAACCTGCCGTTGGCTCGAGAACTAAGGACTCTCCGGCCATACTTTGCGACCAAGACGTTCCACTGAACTGTAGCATGTTCTTGGTTCCAACGCAACATCAGTTCGTTGACAACCAAGCTTCACTGCTCTCTTCAGGCTCTCCCCAGCTTGGAGGTTCTCGCTCAGAAGCTGCTGCCATCAGTTCGCTTCTGTCGTCCATCAGCACCTCTATGGAACGCAGTGCTACCGAGTACTCGCAGTCAGGTTTGCCTTCGCCTTACCCAAGCAACTGCGGCGACACCCGTTCTGAAGGTTCTTCTGCAGATCACGCATCTGCTGCGCAATACGCGACCCAGCAAGAGGTTCGCCCCAGCAACTACTCTACCTCGGCCACTCCCACCTCCGAGTACAGCGTCTACCCGCCGTCTGCGCGGTCAGGATCCTTCCCTGAACATATTCAGCGATCATATCATCCAGCTAGCAACCACAACGGTAGCAGCGGAGGCATGGCGCAACAAGCAAGCAGTCCGTCTTTGCCCCAGCAAGATGGCCGTCACCATCAGGTCCCTCTGGCCAAGTCTGACCACGATGTACCCATAGATCCGTCGATAGCGGCGCCGAGTCCTACCTACGCGTACGGACAGCACTCTCCGTACGGCCCTCCGCCGGGAGACATGTCGCACTCATACCAGCACCCTTACGCGCAACCCCGTCCCGACTGGACCGGCTACGGTCAGCACAGCGCCGGTCCCTTGACACCCGCGAACCACGTTTTCCCCCCGACGCCGAGCTCAGCTCCTCCCCAGGGACGACCTAACCAGGTAAGTTGAGCAGCGAAGTGTGTCGAGCCAAATTGGCCCCGCGCGGTAGGCAGATGTTGCGATGTCAATTGGGTCCCTGATTTGGCAATTTTCGCGAGAATTACCCAGTTTGGTTTGGAAATTCAGCGAAAATCTCAGGATGAGGGGTCCCAGGCATTGCAGCAGCTCGCCATTGATGTGGGATCTGAGGCTGGCACGCGCGCATGTTTTTCACCTTCAGCATGAGACACAGTGTACTGACGTAACAGTTTGGACATCAGGTCTATTCTTTCGTTCCGATTCCCGGTGCCCAGCAGCACAAGCGACCCCGCCGACGATACGAAGAGATTGAGCGCATGTACAAGTGTGGCTGGAATGGCTGTGAGAAGGCCTATGGTACCTTGAACCACCTGAACGCGCACGTCACAATGCAGTCCCATGGACAAAAGAGAACCCCAGAAGGTACGTGAATTTGAGTGTTGACATGTTTCCGGACAAAGCATCGCTTCAAGATGTGTGAGCGCGTTGAAGCGCGTCACCTCGTGCGCTAGTGGCTATGAGCTGGTTTGTTGCTACAGGCCGACTTCGACGGGGATGACTCCCACCGTCCAACTGATATGAGGCTGACGATGCTTTACAGAGTTCAAGGAGATTCGCAAGGAATGGAAACAGCGCAAGAAGGAGGAGGAGGCCCAGCGAAAGGCCGAGGAGGAGCGTCAGCGTCAAGCCGCCGCCGCTGCCGCAGCAGCTGCTCAGAATGGTTCCGCTGACCCCCAATCCGGCGCTGATGGAGCATCGTCGGCATCCGCATACGGCACCAGCCGTCAGGTTCAGCTCCCGCCCATCGGATATCAGCCCTCGCAGTACCCGGCACCCCCTTCCGCAGGAGCCGTGGCCCAGCAACCTCTCCCCGAGTACAACGGATCTCACATGTACTCGGCCAACTACCAACCTCAGTCACCCTACGGCCAGCCAAACCAGAGCATGTACAGCTCACGTTAGTTCAGACCCCCTGCGTTCACCGAGCACAGGAGGCTAACTGCACAGCAAGATAACGGTGGTCAGACCACGAGCCACTGAGGCGCGTTGACTTGCTTGGGGACGCCATCGGAAATGACCCAATATAATGATAGAGGGGGGACTTGTACATTAACGGGTTTCCTTTCGCGCGACGATTGCAGCTCAACGGCATCTGTCCATACGACTTTCCTCTCGTTCGGTTTTTAGACGCGCGGCAAAATTCTGGTTCACAAAGCGATATCCTATCAGTCTTGGGCTTGGGACTTTCACATTTGACGGAGTAAACGCACAGCATGGTGTCGACGCGTCACCAATTCTCACCGATTCGGGCATACATACCCCCACCCACCTGAGTCGCTTCTACATGCGTATCATCACCCACCGGAATGCGTTTCTTTTCAATTTTCTTTCTTCACATAACATGATGCATTGGGAAATGGCTTTTCTTTGGACCTGGTTTCTGCATTTATGAGGGTTTCGAGGGCGATGATTTGACGAACCGAGTGGAGCCTCACTCTGCGCATTTGGGAGGGGCGTTTGCGATATCGAAGTTTCTCTTCAGCGCCACGAATATGTCTTCTGCGGCACCTGCTTCACCAGACGGAGGCCTGATGGGAAACATTGTTTCGACGAGCGCCCAGAACGCAACTTTCTGATAGCGGCCCCATCCCTCAAGTATACGTTTTCCTTTCCTTTTTGGACTTTAGTCCCTTGAGGCGGTCCTGTCTTCGGGAACGGCGATCAGGATTTTCGGAAAAGGGTCCCTTTTTCTCGGGAGAAGGCGAAAGCACAGGGTTGGCAAGGATGGGCCTTTGGAGTGGCGAGATACCAGTACACGAACGGGTCAAGGGCGCGCGAGGGAGTCGAGATTGATTTTTTGGTAGTTGCGAAAAAAAGGGAAATGTATAAGACTTCTTTTTTTTTTTGGCAACAAAAGACATACCCGGTTCACTAAGCTCTACAACTTGATGGTGAATTCATTCGGTGATCAACGCGACAGGACAGCGTGCTGTATAAACCGAGATGCAAGAAAACCATGCAACCCACGAGAGTGGTAGGTAAAGAAGATGCCTCCATGCATCCCGCCGGCCCCAAGCTGTCTTTCCGCGTAGACGAGTTTAGGACGAACACCGTGTGGGAGGTAGGGCGGGCGGGGGGATAGTGAGGCTGAGGCTGAAGCCGCTGAAGAACTTTTTTGGCGGGACCAGGGGTGCTCGATGCTGTCTGTTGGTTCTGAGGGTGTTGGATGACGCAGACGCGCGGGCTGAGAGGCATGGATATGGATGATGGTGGTGGTGGTGGTGTGTTTGTTGGTGGTGGTGGTGACACCATTCCGTTGCGAGTTTAGGTTCTGCGTCTTGGTAGTCCTTTTCTTACGTGCATAACCTGGAGAAGAGAGACAGGGTTCACTGCTTTGCCGAGTCCTCAGTCTTTTTTTCTTCCCTTGTCTCTAGACCCGAGCCTCGGGGATGACTTGAGCTAGTGTTGGATGGAGATTGATTTGGTTTTTTCGTTGGTTCGGAAAGAAAAGATCTTGTGTAACTGGCGCTACGGGAGTGGGATGCGGGCAAGGGTTGGTTTGCGGTCTACGTTAGTGCCGAGGGCTTCTCTACTTCCCCCGGGGCCTTGTTTGCGTTGTACGCGCGGGTAGGTGCAGATGGGTAGCGTGGCATTCTTTTTCAAAGGGGACATCACTTTTTATTGGAATTTATTGTTCTGTGGCGGCTGCATTGCATGAAGGGGGCAGGAAGGTTAGAGGTGGAATGGTGTGGGATATATGTGATGGATGGTTTGGAGGGGGATATGAATATGCTTTCTCCTTCCCTTCCGAATTGTGTTTTTGCGTTGGTTCTTGGGGTGGCGAGAGGGTGTGTGTAGATTAACACGGGGATGGATGGGAGAGGGACCGAAGGATTTTGAGTGTGCATATCGAGGATTGAGTTTATGGCTACGACTTTTCCTGTTTGTTGATGAGGGGTTGACATGAGGAAAGGCGCTAGGAACAAAAAGGCTTGTTTTTGTGTGCGGGTGACGGGTGAGGTCGAGGTTTAAGTTGAGTTGAGCTGACGTTTCGCTCCGCTCCGCGGTGCGGCGGTCGGTGTACCCGAGTTGCCGTGACACCGGTGCGTTGGTTCCATTTGGGAGCCTTACAATTTTTTGTCTTTTTTTTTGTGAGAGGTTACCTTCTGCCGCTTATTCTTTTTTCTATTCTTGTTCTTATTTTTGGGGGGCGACTGGATTGTGTTACTTTTTTTCTGTGTCGCCACAAACATGTACTCTTCGCGTGCGTTGGGTTGTCGAAGTAGTTGGGCGTTTGTGCATGCCGCTCAGGGATTTCCTACCTTAGTGCAACCACATCATCGGAATTCTGGGCGCATGGGGTAGGGTGAAAAAAGTAAAAGGCAAGCGATCGCGATCGGAGAAAAAGATGTTTGTTTAGTGTTTGCTTGGTGTGTGCTGGCTGCAGCGGTGCCGTAGTATTGGGGGCCGCAATTGAAAGAAAGAAGAAACGAAAAGGAAGGGTGACAAACACAGATCGCGGTGGAGTTGGATGCAACGAGTGTCGTGTGCCTTGTTCCTCGAAGCGTGTTTGCGCGCGCGCGCGGTAGCTAGCGGCAGCGGCAAGCGGCAAGTTAAGCGTCATGGGTTGCGGACGCGGTGGGTAAACTTTTTTTTCTCGGTTCGTGGGAAACCCCAGATTATTGACGGGCGGTGCCGCGCGTGTTTAGCACGTTGCTTGGGTTTGGGTTAGTCCTCGTGGGTTGGCTTCTTTAAGAATACATTCCCATGCGAGTTGCGAGGGTCTCTGCCTCTTTAGCGTCGACTTTATTAGGCTGTTCGGGATGTTGCGTGGTAATGACTTACTCACGTACCTTGACGAACTGGCGCCGATGTACTGTACATACCGACCCGAAGAAGGGGTTGGTGGCCCTGTGTGGTTTTTTTTTTTTTTTTTTTTTTTTTTTTTTTTTTTTTTTTTTTTTTTTTGGGGCGTTGGTTCCTTTTTGGATTTTTGGCCCCCAAGGCGACGCTTCGGATTGTGGCGGGCATTTCTTGGTTTTTCCTGCGAGGTTGCCGTTTGGGAGACGGTGTTGTGGGTTCCCATTTTTCCATGTCAGTTTTGGTTGGCGTTGAACGTAACGGTTCAATAGGTAGTTGGTTGACAGAGTTGCTGGTTGCATTTTGGGACTCTTCAACTTGGTAAGCTGACAGCATAACGCAATGTACTGCGTACTAGCCGTGACAATCAACTGAGGTCTGATTTTTCAAGTCTAAGATGATGAGTCATCTTTTCTTTGCAATTGGTGGCGCGTTGTTTTCAATTGAAACGCGGTTTATTCAATCCCTGCGTGGAGACGCTTTGCATGGTCTGTTGTCGAGTTGCGAGACGTCTAGAAGGGTCCATTGTGTGAGTGGCGATGCTGAGGCTCGCTTATCGCTGTGGCTATCGTCGCGACGCTGCAAACCAACCTAACCTACCCCTCCAGCGAGCGACATTAGTGCCTCCAATGTTGTTGCAGTGGCAGGCCTTGCCAGAGAGTGAGCACCCGCAATCTCAGCAGTGCATCTAGTGTGTGCTACCGATGACGTAGTCTGCAGTCCAGCGACGTCAAGCCTGGAACAGGAGGGCCACGCCCAACGGCAACGGCGCCCAAGTTCCTCTGCGCTGCTGTGCCAGTTTGCCGTGCCGTGCTGCTGTCTTACACAGAAACGAGAAGGGGGGGGTCTGGAACGAAGGAAGGCGCTGGTCCTCTGGGGAAATTGAAATTTGCCTGCGGTCAGATTTGTCTCGCATGCAAAATCCAGGAGGGAGGCGAGAGAAGGAGCAGACTGTCCGTCGCCAAACCACCGCATGACTGCAGGAAGCAACGCTGATGGCCGCGAGTGGGAGTGAGTGCCGTGCCGTGCCAGACTGGAATAAATCTTGGTTGCCTCCTCTGCAGCGTCACATTCCACGATCTTCTTTCTCGCTCCTTCCCTCCATCCTTTGAATTTTTCCCGTGCAACTCTCGTTTCTATTGTTCGGGACCTTCGCTCGACAACGCCCGTCGTTCGCAGCTCTGCCGCTCTTGCGGTTTCCGACTGTTTACGGCCGACTGCCTTGAACCCGCCTCGACAGCATCTCCTCCCTTGCTGGGTGTATTTTATTTTTCTCGCCTTCCACCTCGCGCGGGGAGAAAAAGAAAACACTTCGCCGCCCAATCCTGCGCTGTTTGGAAAGTCGCAAGCAGACACGAACCTGATTTCTATCGCCCGTTTCCACCCTCGTTTCCTTCGCGCAAAACTTACCTCTGCAACACAATCACAGCTTCACTACCGACTCCAACGGATTCACCCTAATTTCTACCTGGAATCCAATTACGCATCACTCTGCAATATTTTTGCTACGACACGATCGATATCCAGCAGGCTTAATCGGCAGACATTCAGCAGACTTCCGCGTACCCCTTCGCGCCTCTTCTTGTGTCATCATTGGACGGTAGTGGGACCGGACCCAACGCCTCCAAAATGACCGCCGCCGCCTCAATCGACTCCAATGTTCGGCCCGCTCTGTTCAGACCTTCGGGCCTGCACAAGTCCGACTCCTCCGTCTCCACCACCGCACTATCCTGCAGATCCATCCGCGTCACCGGCGCTCATCCGCTCGGCAGCCTTCACGTTCATCAACCTCTCGATTCTCCGCTGTCTCAAGAAGTCGCCGCCATGAACCCCAACATCACACCCGACGACGACGAGCCGCCCCCTCTGGCCGACATTGAAAATGAGGATACGATGGGCCTCGTCCCACAGGACCACCTGCAGCATGAGCACGCACTCGGCGGCGGCGACATCGTCCTCATCATGGACCTGCCCGCCTCCTTTACCATCGGCTACGACTCAGTCTCCTTCACTGCCCGCGAGTTTTTCGGCGTCAGAGACATCCCGCCCGGCCCGCACTTCTTCTGGGTCTCAGAGACCGAAGCCAGCACCACCCGTTGCGGCTTCTGGATCGTGAGCTCAGCCACGGAGAAAATTCACGTCATGCAGTGGGACAAGTTCAACGAGGTCGTCGGCGAGCC